TTAGCAGAAATAAACAAAAAAAACTAGAAAGGATCAATGAAACTAAGAGCTGTTTCTTTGGAAGATAAGCAAAATTGACAAACCCTTAGCCAGACTCACTAAGAAAAAAGACAGCAGGCTCAAATAAATAAAATTAGAAAGATAAGAGGAGAAATTGCAATGGATACCACAGAAATACAAAGGATTATAAGAGAATACTATGAAAAACTATATGCCAACAAATTGGACAATCTAGGAGAAATGGATAAATCCTTAGACTCATACTACCTCCTAAAACTGAACCAAGAAGAAATAGAGAATCCAAATAAACAAAACACAAGTAAAGGGATTGAAACAGTAAACAAAAGTCCAGGACCAGACAGCTTCCCTGGTGAATTCTACCAAACATTCAAAGAAGACTTAATACCTATCCTTCTCAAACTATTCAAAAAAATTGAAGATGACGTAATACTTCCTAACACATTCTATGAGGCCAAGATCACCCTGATACCAAAGCCAGGCAAGGACAACACAAAGAAGGAAAATTACAGGTCAATATAACTGATGAACATAGATGCAAAAGTCCTCAACAAAATATGGGCAAACTGAACACAGCAAAACATTAAAAACATTGTACACCATGATCAAGTGGGATTTAGGAATGCAGGGATGGTTCAAAATCCACAAATATGTATAATGTGATACACCACGTTAATAAAATGAAAAATAAAAACCATATGATCATCTCAATAGACACAGAGAAAGCATTTCACAAGATCCAACATATATTTATGATAAAAACTCCCAATAAAATGAGTTTGGAAGGAAAATACCTCAACAAACTAAAGCCCATACATGACAAACCCACCATCAATATCATATTCAATGGGGAAAAACTGAAAGCTATCCTTCTGAGAACAGGAACAAAACAAGCATTCCTACTCTTGCCACTCTTATTCAACATAGTACTGGAGGTTTTGGCCAGAGCGATTAGACAAAAAAAAGGAAATAAAAGGAGTCCAAATAGGCAACGAGGAAGTGAAATTGTCACTGTTTGCAGAAGACATAATTTTATATAGAGAAAAACCTAAAGAATCCATCAGAAAACTATTAGAAATAATCAATAACTACAGCAAAGTTGCAGGGTACAAAATCAACTTACAAAAATCAGTTGCATTTCTATACTCTGACAACAAACTAGCAGAAAGGGAAATGAAGAATACAATCCCATTTACAATCACAAGAAAAAAAATTAAACACCCAGGAATGAATTTAACCAAGGAAGTAAAAGACCTGTACACTGAAAACTATAAGACATTGTTGAAAGATATCAGAGATGACACAAAGAAATGGAGAGATACTCCATGCTTATGAATTGGAAGAATTAACATGGTTAAAATTTCTATATTACCTAAAGCAATCTACCAATTCAATGCCATCCTTATCAGAATCCCAAGGACATTTCTGACAGAAATAGAACAAAGAACCCTAAAATTTATATGGAACAACAAAAGACCTTGACTAGCCAAAGGAATCCTGAGAAAAAAGAAAAAAGCTGGAGGTATCACACTCTCTGATTTCCAAATATACTACAAAGCTATAGTAATCAAAACAACATGGTACTGGCAGAAAAACAGACACACAGATCAATGGAACAGAACTGAGAGCCCAAAAATAAGTCCCACATATTTATGGAGAGCTAATTTTTGACAAAGGAACCAAGAACATACAATGGAGAAAGGAAAGTCTCTTCAATAAATGGTGCTGGGGAAACTGGACGGCCACATGCAAAAGAATGAAAGTAGACCACCTATCTTATACCATACACAAAAATTAACTCAAAACGTATTAAAGACTTGAATGTAAGACCTAAAAGCATAAAACTCCTAGAAGAAAACATAAGCAGTAAACTCTTTGACATCGGTTGTAGCAGTATTTCCTTGACTATGTCTCCTCAGGCAAAGGAAACAAAGGAAAAGATAAATGAGACTACACCAAACTAAAACGCTTTTGCACAGCAAAGGAAACCATCAACAAAATGAAAAGGCAACCTACCAATATTTGATAAGGGTTAATATCCAAAATATATAAAGAACTCACACAACTCAACAACAAAAAAACAAACAACTTGATTAAAAAATGGGCAGGGGATCTGAATAGACATTTTTCCAAAGAAGACATACAGATGGCCAACAGGCATGTGAAAAGATGTTCAGCATCACTAATTGTTAGGGAAATGCAAATCAGAACCAAAATGAGATATCACCTATGCCCATCAGAATGGTTATTATTAAAAACACAAGAAATAATAAGTGTTGGAGAAGATGTGGGGAAAAAGGAACCCTCGTACACTGCAGGCGGGAATGTACTTAGGCATAGCCACTATGGAAAACAGTATGGAGATTCATCAAAAAATTAAAACTAGAACTACCATATGATCCAGCTATTCCACTCACGGATATTTATTCAAAGAACAGAAAAACACTATTTTTAAAAGATATATGCATCCCTCTGTTCATCACAGCATTATTCACAAAACCCAAAATACCATATGATTTCACTCACATGTGGAAGATAAACAAACAAATACATAGATACAGAGAATAGATTGGTGATTACCAGAGAGGAAGGGGTGTAGGAAGAGGGTGAAAGGAGTGAAGGGGCACATTATTATGGTGACAGATGGCACCTAGACTTTGGTGGTGAGCATGAGGTAGTTTATACAGAAGTAGAAATACAATGATGTATACTTGAAATTTACATAAGGTTACGAATCAATGTTACCTCAATAAAAAATTTAAAAATAAAAAAACACCAGAAGTAACAAATCTTGGTAAGGATTTGGAGAAATTGGAACACTTGTGCCCTGTTGGTGGGAATGTAAAATGGTATAGCCATTAGGGAAAACAGTATGGTAGTTCCTCAAAAAATGAAAGATAGAATTGCCATATAAAAAAAGGGGGGAATGTTTCAAAGGAACTATGAATCCAAAGAGCCTCAGAATCAAGTCTAATTCAATCAGTCGATCTATCAAATTCATATTTTACCAACAGAACAATCCTGGTGTCTGATAGCTAATTACTTTAGCAAGTATATTCTAAGTTATGCTACATTTGACTATTGATACAAATGTAGACATTGTCTGTCTTACCCTTACCCAACAAGAAAGAAATTTAAAATCTTATGAGTCCCCAAAAGAAAAATCTTCAAAAAGCAAAGTGCTACTGGCCTCAATAGCCAGGAAAAGTGTCAGAAAATATCTCTCTATAACTGAAAACAATTAGGACCATCAAAATGTGCATGAAGTTGTATATAAGAGCCAATTTCACAGAACCAGTTGATTTTATGCTCTTTTGTGTCAGTTTCCAATGCTTACCCAAAGGTCTGCAGAAAGTAGCCGTATAACTATAACTAATATAACATCTGCTAGAATTGTGGAAATTAACACAAGTGACAAGGCAGATAATTAGATGCTCGGGTAGCTGATACAAAATAAGAAAAAGGACAACTGAAAGACAAGACTATTAGCTTTTCTAGATGGTATACAGGTGTTCCAAGCCTAGAAAACTAGAATTGATGACATAGATTTTGAAAAAACAAAATTAAAGTCAAGAATCATAATTTTTTAAGGCTGTTATAACTTGAAAGAGTTAACACAGAGGTCAGAGACTGCTATCCTTAGAAAGACCTACTTGCAAGGCTGGCCCTTGGCTGGTAAACAATTCTCCAAACTGATACAACTTACCCTGTGTGACCCCCATGGGAAGCCTGCACGTGACTTCCTCCAGGCTCTGGCTATGGCTTTTTCCCTTACGATCTGGCTGTGTATCCTTACTACATTCCTGTAATAAATCTTAGCCATGAGTACAATAATGTGCTGAGTCCCATGAATTCTTCTAGAGATTTACTAAAAACATAGGGGTGGTTTTGGGAACCCCCAACACAGATGTCAAATGGGCACGTGAAAAGATGCTCACTATCATCAGTCACAGCATGGAAATGTAAATTAAAACCACATGAGATACACACCTAGTAGAAGAGCTAAAATTAAAAAGACTAACCATACCAAGTGTTGGTGACAATAGCTTGCAGGAATGTAACCACAGTTGGGTGGTTTCTTAAAAAGTTAAAATACACTTACCATATGATCCAGCCATTTTATTCTTAAATATTTACCAAAGAGAAATGAAAGCATATGTCCATACAAAGACTTTTGCACAAATGATCATAGGAGCATTATTTGTAGTAGCCAAAACCGCAAACAAAATGTCCACCAACAGGTGAATGGATAAACAAACCCTGATATACCCATATACTGGAATACTACTCAGCAACACAAACAAATGAACCATTGATACGAGCTACAAACTGAATGAATTTTAAAATAATTATGAGTGAAAGAAGCCAGACAAAAAGTCATATACACTATGTGACTTTATTTATATAAAAATGTAGTAAATGCAAATGAATCTATAGTGACAGAATGCAGATCAGTGTCAAAACTTACCAAATTGTATACTTTAAATGTGTGCCGTTTATTCTACGCCAATTTTACCTCAATAAAGCTGGGCTTTTTAAAGTAATTATGGTAGTGAACAAATACGTAAGTGATCCAAAAAAGACCAAGATTCACAGAGGTCAAAGCTAATTCCTGAGACTCACCAAATCCCAGCACTTTGGGCTTAGAACTGGGATCAAAGTTCCCGCTATAAACCCTCAGCATCTAAAACCTATTCACTGGCTCTCAATAAAACACGGAGTGACAGCAAATTTTTCATTGACATTAAAGCTTAATAAAAATTCTGGTGTGAGCCACATAAATTTCAGTGGGTTTGGCTGTCGGGGAAGCTTTTTGGCTACCTTGACATGGATTTTTCAGTCTTGGATAATGCGGTCAACAACCTGTGGCGACAGCAGATACAAAACAACAACATTTTCAAACACTGCTGAGTTGTAGAAGGCTCCTACAAGTTGTGGGAACCAAGAGAGGAGCTGATATGAACAATGAATCCAGTACTTACAGCCCCTTTGCAGTAGGGCCGGAGCTGTCCTGCAGGAGTTCGGACAATTACAGACTTCCTTTTTCTATTACTAAAACAACATTAAAAGCATTAGTTTCTATTTTCCTTAGTACATGGCACTGACACACACAAAAAATCAAAATCAAAAGCATTCTGAGAGAGTCCTCCACTGACCATTAGTGAAAGGGCCAACATGTTTCTTGCCAGTTTCCACTTCCTCTTTCTTTTACCATTACTCTCCACTTTCTTATACTACTACTATTTCTCAGTTACTATTCTTTCTTCTATGGAAATTTACTTATGCAAATATATCTAATCTATTATATATATTACTTATATATTATATTATGTATAATATATATTAATATATTTTATATTAATGTGTATTATATTACTTATAGTACATAATACATATACTATATAATGTAATTTATAATTTATAATGTAATTTAGTGTTATATGTATATAATACATGTATTAAATATAATAAAATACATGTTATATACACATACAAAATATAACCATTTAAAAACTGAGGAAGAACGAGGAGAGCAGCCCACGTCTGTGTATCATTCAGTCCTCACAACGTCTCCATCAGGTAGGCCTTCCTGTCTCCAGTTTGCTGCACAGAGATGTTAAACAGCTAGCTTGATAGATGCCAGGTTTATTTTAATGTACAGTTCTGCCTCAAAGTCCTCTAGATTTATTTATTTATTTATTTGTGTATTTATTTATTTTACCGTCGTAGACAAACTTAAACTCATTGATTTTACTCCTGATTTAGCAGCCCAAATAGGCTTGAAGATCTGTTCTCACTGCCAAAGGAAACTGCTCAAAACAGTCCTACTTCCTTATCACGTCATCCTCCCCACCCACCGCCCTTAACCCTCGGATGGCTCTCCATGGCCTATAAATACTTTTCAAGAGACTCCTACAGATAATCCTTGCAGGAATCTTCACTGTCTCAGCTCTTTCTCATACCCCACAGCCCTATGCCTTGCACACTCGGACTCCAACCACACCAGAAGACCCTCCCTCCCCGGCACAGCTTACATTAGGTTCCATGCCGTCGCCGGCTCCACAGCCTCCTCCTCAGGTAGGTGCCCCCTCCCAACTCCCATATCTACCTGTTGAAATCCTACCCATCGTTCAAAGATGCAACCCTCTCCACAGAGCCTTCCCCAAACGCCTCAGTCAGAAATAATATCTTCTGTGCTTACCCAGAACGCGATATATCCATCTACCTAGTTCTTACCAGATCCTGTCTGGTACTAAAACCATTTCTGCACATACCTGTCTTGTAACAGACCGTAGGCTCCCACAGGCAAGGACAGCATCTTTGTCGGGATACAAACCTCCACCCCCTAGCACAGTTCTTAATACAGACCAGTACTCAAAGTTCCTGAAATGATTAGCAGAAGAGCAGCAAGAATTTCTCCCACTGAAAAATTTTATACCTAATTTTCAACTGTGGTGGAATACAGAGGTCCCTTAGGTAAGTGAAAGATACATCAAAGTCTAAACTGCATTTGAGTTGCTATTTTTAAACTTGGCAACTAACATTTTCTTTTCAAAGTAAGGCTACAAAGTGACAAATGGGTATCCTGTCTTTTTGGTTTTCCAACTCATTCTCTAGAAAAAGCATCAGCAAAGACGTCAAGGAGTAAAAACTAGAAGCATGAAGTGTGGATAACTACATGACCACAACAAGCAGCCAAACAGCAGACAAATAAAAATACTACAAACTGAAAACTTAAAGATATTCTGCTCCTTATTACTTGAAGGAATAGGTTACTATCTAAGTTACTAGGGCAAGTAAAAATGGTATAAATACATCCAAGAAAATGATGATCTTTTAAAAACACAAATCGGATAGCACTGCCCTGCTTGAAGCCCTCTAGTGACTTTACATCACACATACAAAAAATTCGACTTCCGCACTGTGTGCTGCAAAGATCCTGCCGCAGACGGATTCTCCAAGCTCGTCTCCAGCACCTCCCTGCTCCTCGCTTCGCTTCCGCCACATTGAGGTTCTTTCTGTTGCTTGACGCTGAGACCAGTATCTCTCAGTGCCTTGCTCTAGCTGTTACTTCTGCCCGGGATGCTCTTCCTCCACGTCTTCACGTGGCTGCCTCCTCCACCTTCAATTATCAGCCCAAATCCCACACCTCGCAAAGGCTCCCTCGGCCGCTCTAAGGCAAACCTCCACCACCAGCAGCTCCACAGTCTGCCTCTGTCGGATCCTACTGTTGATTCTTTCTACAGTGCTCATCATGACCCGAAATTATCTTGTTCATTCACTTCTCTGTTTACTCTCTGCCTCCCTCCACTAGAGTAGAAGCCCCACAAACAGGGGCTCATCATGGCCACTCTAATTCTAGAACAGTGGCTGGCATGTGGAAGATGCTCAAAAATATTTGTAGACTGCATTTAATGCCATGAAGACGAAAATATATTTTTTACATTCTCTAGCTTTTCTTTCACCTCTGGAAGCAGAGATTGGTTGAAAATACCGGGACTTTGGGATCAGATACACCTGATTTGAACCCTGATTCTGCCACTTATTTGCTTAGTGATGTTGGCACGGTTGCTTAAATTGAGCTCCAGCTGCATATCCTTCGAATGGGGCTGCTGCCATCTACCTTGAAGGACTGCTCTGTGCAGGTCAAGCAGACCAATTGGGATCTCAGTCATTAGTTTTTCCACGTTCTCAAGCTCTTCCAACAAGAAAGAATTTTATTTTTCCTCAGGAATAAGATTGATCAAGAAATGGATGGTCAAGCTTAGAACAGAAGTAAGGTTCATAGAAATGATTCCTGAAGGAGAGAAGAAGGATCTCCTTCACGGGGGGAGGGAGGAGGAACGTGGTAAAATCCAAACATTTAAGCATCAGAAAAGAGTGTTCCAATTAAAAGAATAGGAATAAAAATAAATACTTATAGCAAGTGCTATATCTTTTTTTTTGGACGTACCAGGCATTGTTATTTAATCTTCACAGCAATCCCATGAGGAGGATATCAATGCTATCCCCATTTTCTAGGCCAAGAAACCAAGGTCCAGAGAGGTTAGGTGACTAGGAAGGTCATGAGCTAGTAACAGAGTCACAGCTAAGACCACAAATAAACCTTTTCCCTCCTCAGTCTCCCAGGCTCTTTTTACCCTCTCCACTCCTCCTCTCCAAATGGATCCATGCTTGTCATCCTCCCTTCTTTCCTCTTCTTCCTCCTCTTGCCCACGAGGCCCAGACAATACAGCCCCAAAGTAGCCCAATCAGCCACCAAGATGGCCATTTCGCCAGGCCACCAGAGAGCAGCATGTCAGCAAGAAGAGGCGAGAGAAATGTCTTAAACTTCTCTCACCTCCCTGGGAGCCCCATCGGCCTCATCTACTTAAAACACTCTTCATCTGTCCCCATCTCACCCTGAACAGTCTAAGCCAAAGCTTCTGCCCTCCAAGGACGGCCCCAGTGAGTAGTCAGAGAGTGCTTTCCGACAGGAAGACGGGATTAGCAATTGCTTTAAATACTTAGAAAGCTGTTAGAACACTACTCAAGGCCACTGAGTCTTTTAAGTGTCACCTAGCTAGGAGTGCACATTGTAATGACTGGAAATGAGTGCTCTCATAGTAGCAGTGTTTAAATATCAGGAAAGGGGAAAGCTGGAATGAACATTGAGATATATTTTCTTGTAATAAAGTTTTAGGAAAAGCTTTCCTAGAGAGAGGGGGGAGTTGGTAACAACAACTTTTCTGAGGTTTAAAGCTTTTTTTAAAAAATGGCATTGGGAAACAATGCTTTAAAAATATGATTTAAAAAGTCTGGCTTTGGGAAGAACAAATGATTTACTTATTTACTTCCTTTTCTAATCTTTCAGATTCCACATTAGCAAGGCTCAGGTGGTCCAAGAGACATGACTTCATGAGGCTGGAGGAAAGTCCAGTGAAAATAAAATCATCAGCCATAAACTCACAATACTCTTTGGGGAATCAGGCCAGCTGCTGGAGCAGCAGGCCCTCTGAAGCGTAAGGGGAGAAAAGGATTTGGATGCACGTTGTTTCTTTTGAAAAACATTAATTAATTCACTATTTTAAAAGAAATATTATTTAGTTTATTTGCGACAATAATGCCCAATATCCATCCATTCATCAAATATTTATTGAGCACTTACTGGATACCAGACCTGGCGGGAGGTGACTCCTGCCCTCCTAGAACTTATAGTCTAGTTGGCGACACAGTCATTAAATAAACACTCAGATTAGAAATTGCAATGCTGACTGTGACAAGTGCTAGGAAGGAGAGGTGTGGGAACCCACATCACCCACAAAAGGGAGTTTGGCCCAATGAGGCCTGAAGAAGCAAGACCTGAGCTGAGATTAAAGGATGGATGGAAGCGGACTGGAATTTCATGATTCTGTAGTAAAGTTTTGGTTTACATTACCAAATCTCACTGAACAGTCACAGAAAGAGCCCTGGGAAATACATGAAGTGAATGAAAAAGTAGCTTACCTAGAAAACTCCAGGACGTTAAGAATTTCATACGTTAAGTTTTCTCCCATCTACAGAAAGATAAAACAGCAGATTCTTACCTGAAGGAAAAAGTATCCTTGCAAAATAACTCACTCTCCCAAGCACAAACAAGTTTTACCCCCCAAATACCCATCTTTTTCAAAATATAAAGTCTGATAAGATGATGGTGCCCTCCTCTGGCAAGAACAATATTGGCACAAATGTTTCTAATAGTGCCGACTGAAGACTGGAACACCTCTCTTTTCAATCTAAAAGCAGCACTATTGGAAACTTTATAAATACTCTCAGGTTGCAGGGGTACACGGGAGTAGATGAGACAGTCAGCAGACAAAACTGGGAGAACAAACACATCTTTTAATAAAATAGCAGAGATCAAATGAAATCCTTAATGCTGAGATAATTTGAAGAGGTAAACGTGGAAAAAGGTGGTATGCTATAAAATTTTATATCAATGAAACATGCATGTTTTCTAGACTTTTCCAGTTATAGCCTCTTGACTTCCTGTAGCCATGATCAATTTATCTGTGAAGCTACCAGCTCCCAGCTTCACCAATATGACACTGCGGGATTTCAAATAATTTGAGAGTCATCCATGTGGCATATTCTATAGATACAAAGGTGAATTAGTCAGTCCGTCTTGCCAAGGACTCAATGTCTAGTAAACATCCCTAACCACTGCATTATTACTAGAAAAAAAAAAAATCAGTGTTGGCCACCATGTTTACACTGCTCCAATTTTTTCCCGTAATATCAAAGTCTTGTGGTAAGTGGTCATCAAGACAGAACAAGAAAATATATACATAATAAAATGAGTAAATGAAAATAATAATAAAACTTGCCAAAAATAATTTGAAACACTTTAATTCTTATAGGAAAAAAAAATAGTGTATTGCTTGAAGGTCTGATGATTCTAAGTCTTCGGAATAGCTCATTTTTATTGAGCACTTTCTCTGTGCCAAGCACTAATTCCAACTACTTAAGATATGTCAACTCATTTAATCCTCACGAAGACCCTGTGACATGCATGATGAGCAAACTGGGGCAAACACAGAGAAGTTAAGGAATGCGCCCAAGAATAGCGGCTGGGAAGGTGTGGGGCAGGTGGGAACCCCACGCACTGTAACTGCAGGGGTTCCTCGTCTGACCGCTGTGTACCTGTGTCTCTCTGGAAAAACAGGTGCGTGTGAACCCTGGGAAAGTATATAGGATGCTACTCACAGCTTCTATGATGATAGAATACGGCGTTCTTGTAGTGAAAACAAAGCCGAGTTTCTTTGCTCCTTTCACTAAAGCTGCTTCATCTGTTAATAAAAATTCTGTGTTAATGGAGACTGAGCAAATGTATTAACATTGAATTTAATTTAATACGGATTTCCATTCTTCAGCTAAAATATCACGTCATATTTTAAACTTGACTTTTTTCATCCAAATGCACTTATCTGTACCTCTAGGGGCCAGACAGTGTTCATGAAAGAGGAAATTTGGCTAAATAGGGCCACTTTCAGTGGGGCTAAGATAAATTCCCCAGGCTGAGAGTGAAATCCTTCCCTAGTTTCATTATGGTCTTGTTTGTGCTCCGGGCCAGTAGTAGCAGCTCCAGAAAATGTTGCAGGTCTTGACCTTACCCCTGCCTGTTACTTATTATAACCTAACATGCCACTGAACCCCGGCCCCGAGAGCCCCCGCCAGCCTCCTTATGGCAGTCTTTGTGGGTCTGGGGAGCCGGAGCCCCAGAGCAGCTGAGGCCTGCACTGTGCCACTAATGCCCCTGACCATAACAACTCCAGGGAAGGAGAAACACAGGCACCATCAGGGGACCAGGGGCAGCATCCCCTCTTCTGTGCTCATCACCTGCCAGGTGCTCCAGGTGCACACAGCACCTACCTGGGGAGGAAGCTTGGTAGATTATATCATTTCCATCTGTCTCAGGAACAACAGTGTGGCACACACACAACAGGGTAAGAAATTCCTTTATATAGTCTTTCATGGGCTATATATAAGAAAGGCACCGAGCTGGTGAGTCTCTTAGAACGCAAGAGTAATATATAATCTGCAGCTTTTACCAACTAAGGTTTTACTTCAGGTATACGCAGAGTCAGGCACCAGCTAAAAACCATATTGTGCAGTTAGCATGTGTCTGTGGAGTGGCTACTGAGGCAGAGACGGTGTGGTAGGCTGGGGAGACCTGCAGGAACAAGATGACCCTGCCCTCATGGAGCTTTTATTCTTATTGGAGAGATAAGCTTTCTCAAAGCTGGAGAAATACATAGGGGCTGTGATAGAGAAAAGAGAGGCTTATTTTAGGTAGGTGGTCAGGACAAAAACACTGGGGAGATGATATTTAAATTAAGACCTAAATGGAAAGGTTAGTTAGCTGTGTTAGGTGACATGTGACAGTGGCACACACTAGACAAGAGGAATAGCACTTTCAAAGGCTCCGGGGCAGGAATCAGACTGGTGCATTTGTGGAGCTTCAAGGCAAGTGTGACTCTAGCATCTTGAGCAGGAGGAACAATACCCAGAATGAGGCTGGAGAGAGGAGCACAGTCACGAGTTTGGGTTTCATCTTAAGTGTGGTGTCAGTCCTTGGAAAGGTTTTAAGCACAGGAAGACACGTACAGACTTATGTTTTAAAAGACCACTTTTACTTTTTAGAAGATTAAGATTTCAAATCAGGTAGATCAATATCTTAAAATAGATAAGTGAAGATATTGGTAGCATGCAATTGAACCAAATAGTTTAAAAGCAGAAGAGAGAGTCTTACACAGATGGCTACCCGGTAAAACGTTCTTGTATAATGTTTGATTTCGGTCACACCAAGTTCAGTGCTCAGTTCATAATATGGGTAAAAAGTCCCTTGCTTACTATAGTAACATCAAAAAATTTCAAGACTCTCTCTTTCCTGGGCTCAGAAAATTATATCTTTTAGGAAACTATACAAATGTTTTAAAGTTATATAGCATTACCCTGTTGACAGAGTGAAAAAAGCAGACTTACATGGTTACTCTCCAAGTTCTGCAATAATGTTGGGTCATCAAATTCACAGGAGTCTGTGATGGGAGAAGGCGGCTGACTGAGGGAGAATGGAGAAGAGCGGTTTTAACAAAAGGTTCCTGATGATAACAGTCAATAACCAAAAGGATCTATAGTGAACACATAGCCCTACCTTCTGTTTTCAGTAAGTCACACCTAAAAAGTCCATAGAACGAGTAAATATTTAAAGTTCCTCCTCTCAGACCTCAAGCTGCAAAATGGCGTTAGAAAATGCCTAAAATTGTGTTGAATACTGAACAGTTATGTGGAATTTGAGACAGAGAAACTACAAAAGCAGTAAAGTCTAGATCCTGGGGTTTTTGAACACCATACAGGAAAGATCTATCCAGGGGAGCGTCCTGGGAACTGCCATTTGAAGTCTGGACCAGGGAGAGCTGTGCTATCATCTGTCAGCACACCAGGACTGATGAAAAGTGTGTTGCAGGGAAAAAGGAAGAAGGGCAAAGGAGAAAAGAATGTCGTCTATTTACCTTAAGTTGTCTATAACATCACTTGTGTTTAACTGATTTCTAAGGGAAAATGAGGGAGGAAATATAACAGTTACAAGACTATAAATATAAAACCCTTTAAGAATTCTAACCACGTATGAAAGCAGATGTAAACCCTATTTTTTAACAACTGCAAGTTTTCATTTAGGTTATATTAGGTTTCAGTCTCACTCAGATACAGTGATAGTATTAGAAATTCAGATATGTTTTGGAGCAAATAAAGGATAATTAACTTTATTAAGAAAAAATATAAGAATTTCCAACAGAGTATGGCAATAAAAACACACCCATAAATTATACCTGCAATGGTACACTTCTTAAATGTCATAATATTGCAAGTGAGGGTTCCCGTTTTATCACAAAATAAGTATTTTACCTAAACAAAGAAAAAACGAACATGATAAACAACATTAAGTTAAAATGTATTAAGAAAACAAAGACAAGATGACATTCTTTCTCTTTAAATCTTCAAAATATTTGAATTTTTAGAAAACAAGAAGTTCGGTCTATAAGAATTCTATCTTTAATATTTATACTTCTTTCAGAGGCCACACTCTTCTGTTAGTTTCACACTGGAAGTGAAATCTCACGGTAATATGCAAAGTAAATTATCTATCTGTTTACCTATCTATCAGATGAAAAAGAAAACCAAACTCGAAGCCCTTTTAATCATGATCACAAAGTATAATGCTCATTTCTAAAGACAAATGGAAATTCTTTAGATGATCACTTCTGTCCAACAATCAACACGAAGCAACATAGAGTTAAACAGTTTTAAAATGTTCGTCAGCTCTGGTGTCTAGTGGTTAAGATTCAGCATGTTCACCGCCCTGGCCCAGGCTCGTTTTCCAGTCGGGGAACCACACCTCCGTCTGTCGGTTGTCAGCGTGGCGGTGGAGTGTTGCTGTGGTGCTGAAAGCTGTGCCAGCGGGATTTCAAATACCAGCAGGTCACCCACGGTGGACAAGTTTCAGTGGAGCTTCCAGACTAAGACAGACTAGGAAGAAGGACATGGCACCCACTTCTGAAAAAATTGGCCATGAAAACCCTGTGAACAGCAGCAGAGCACTGTCTGATGCTGCACTGGAAGGTGAGAGGATGGCGCAAAAAAGACGGGGCAGGGTTCCACTCTGTTGTACACAGACTCACTAGGAGTCGAAACTGACTCAACCAACACCGAGATCTTTGTATTATTTTGGAAGATGAGAGAGATACTGATTAACTTTAGATTTTGTTAACTTTACATTTTTGTTAAATGAAGCAACCAAAAAATGACAATAAAAAGCAGATGCTATTATATATGCGCACAAAAACATTTAAACTATGTAATTTTGAAAGGAAAATCAGGGTCGGAAATGAGATGCAGTAAATGAAAACAAACAACTAGCACAATGGCAACATTAACACTAAAGCAGATGCTAAAGTTCTCAGTGCAAGTTAAAGAGAGATATTAAGTAATGGTAAGACAACATTTACAAAGAAGATACAAGAATTAAGAACCTGTATAAACCAAACAAAACCTAAGTAAATACATAAAACAAAGAGAACTTGATAAAAGTAAATAACACTTAGAGAATTCAGAATATTTCTTTCAGAATTTCAGATTCTTTTAGAGCTGAATTTCTTTCAGATCTGAATAAATAAATATTATAGACATGGAAAAAATTGAAAAATATAATAAACTTGATTTAGTAGATATGGCAAAAAATACATGTTTTTTATGTCCTTTATAAAAATTGATTATGTAATTGGCCACATAAATCATGGACAAAATTTTTAAAGTAGAGGTTTTATAAGTCACATTTGTTCATCATAATGCAATAAAACAAAAAAATTAATTATGAAAAAAGGAACCATAAAGCTTCTTGGAAATTAAGAAATTTAGGTTGATTCCTTCTAGTTTGATTTCTGGAAAAAATATCTAAAAATATCTAAAAAGCAATAAGGAGAGTTCCTAACATAACCCATAATAAAACTTACAGGATTCAGTCAAAGCTGCAAGCAGAAGAAAATGGATGATCAGAAATGTTTCATTATTAAAGAAGAAAAGCTAAAAGTAAAATTGTGCTCAGTTTAAGAAAATACAGGGAAAAAAATCAAAAGAAACCAGTTGAAGGAATTAGAAGAGACAAAAAACTGAAATGAATGAAATGAAAAATAAATTAGTAGAAAGGATGAATAAATCCAAAATTTAATTCACTGAAAAGATCAAGAATATAAATTGCATGAAAATTCTTTAGGAAAAGGGAAAGTGGGTGTGTAAAAATATGTGAGATGAGAAATAAGAAAGGAAATATAACTACACATAAAGAAGAGATTTTTTTTAACGTTACTTGCAACTCTACCAAATTTTTTTAACCAGCAGAAATGGATAATTTCCTGGAAAAAAATAAGTTGCCAAATTAAAACAAGAAGTTGAGATGGTAAAGGTGAATAAAGACCTCCTGTTGAAAAGGACAAAAGAGACCTTCCATTTTGTGTAATATGATGAGCTAAATAACGTGAACTGCCCTTCTGATGAAAACTAGGATAATACAGGATAAAACATAAAAACTCATGTTTTTAAACATCATCGCAACATCACAAAGTTGTCCCAGAAGGAAGTAGTCCTCCGAGGTGAAATTCAGAGTAAACTGTGGAAAGTAAGGAGCTTTTTCTCTGAGTGTCAAACCCTGGAAACCTAAAGTTTTCACCTTGAAGGCCGTACAGGATTCCGGAACTAGAAGAGAAAGCAATGGGTTGCCCCAGTGGACAGTGCAAAAGAAGACCCTTCATAAATCTGGCCAAGAGGACAGCCTCTCAAAATAAGAGTTAAAGAGAATGAATTTTCCTGATTAAACTTTGAGGTTGGACAGAAGAAAAACATGCTTCTCTTGAGAATGTTGACACAAGCTGGCCCTTCCAAGGGCTTGTGGCCAAATTCACACCACCTGTGGGCCCAAAACACCTCAAGCAGAGGATTTAAATTAAAGTGGTCTCAGGTGATTGGCAGAAGGAAATGCAAATCCTTTCTGCAGAAACTCAACTTCAACCTAGGCCTCAAAGAATTCCTACCAAAAAAGTTCCAAGCATCATGGGGTCATAATCAAAATAAGGCACCCTAAATGAAAACCACTAGAAAAAAGAGAAACAGAATCAGATCCACAAATCATTCAGGTTCTGGAATTATTAGACTCAAAATATGAAATAACTAGATTTTGTATGTTTTTCAAAAAGAATAGTTTAAAAATATGAGCAAGGAACAGGAAAATAAAAAGAACAAAGCATGTATTTTAAGAGTAAATAAAACTTCTAGAAAGTTAAAATTATAATGGTTGAAAGACTTAATTGGCAGATTAAACAGATGACCAGAATCAAATGAAGAGACAACTAGAAAACAGAAAGATGAGTCTGAAGAAATTCTCCAGTGCAGAGAGATAAAGAGATGGAAATCTGAAAGGAGGGCAAGAGACACAAGGATAGAGAGGAAAGGGTTGATGATGTATATTGAGTTGGAGTTCCAAAGGGAGAGAAAATGGAGGCTGGAGATGAGCTGATATTTACGTACAGATCAGTTTTCTAAAGTTCTTCAAAGTTACTGATCCTCAGACTCCAGGATCTCAGTGATCAGACAGAGCATAAATAAAAAGGCAGCCACATCTAGTCACATGACAACGAAACGGCAGCAGTCTAGAGAGAAAATTTTCAAAGCAGAAAGAAAAGACCAATCGCATGTCCAGGGACCAATACTAGATTGAAGAGTGGCTTCTCAAAGTCATCAAAGGCACAGGACGATGAATAGTATTTTCAACGTTCTGGGAGAAAACGGTATTTCAAGACGGGAGAAACAAAACCATTTTCAGACCTAGGAAACATGAGATCTGCCTGCCAACATTCCTTCTCTAAAGGAAACTTTGAGAACATCTTTCAGGCAGTAGATATGGGACCTCAGGTGAGAATTCTGAGTTATGAGAATGAAAGGTGTGCGAAGACATTGGTAAGGAGGTGGATAAATCTAAGTAAGCATTGCTGCATGAAATCATAATCATAATCATGATGTCTTATCTACGGGGTCGAAAGATTTTAAAGCCAAAATACTGGACAAAACCAGCATATAACTAAAAAAGAGGCAAGCAGTGTCAAAATGTTTTTTCCTATTGTGGTAAAATATTAGCCATATTTAGTACATTCACACATTTGTGCCACCATCCATCTCCAGAACTTTTTCATCACCCCAAACTGAAAGCAATTAAATAATAGGAGAATTCTCCATTCTCTCCTCCCCCCAGCCCTGGCAACCACTATTCTACTTTTTGTCTCTATGAATCTTACTATTCCAAGTACCTCATACAAGTAGAATCATATAGTATTTGTCCTTTTGTGTCTGGCATGTTTCACTTAGCATAATATCTTCAAGGTTCATCCATGTTGTAGCATGTATCAGAATTTCATTCATTTTTAGGGCTGAATAATACGCCATTGTACATATATACCATATTTTGTTTATCCATTCATCCATTGATGGACGGTTGAGTTGTTGCCATCTTTTGGTGTACAAATATATGTTTGAGTCCCTACTTTCAATTCTTTTGTGTATATACCCAGAAATGGAATGGTCGGATCATATGGAAATTCTATGTTTAATTTTTTGAGGAACAACCATACCATTTTCCACAGTGACTGTACCATTTTACATTTTCACCAGTAACACACAAGGGTTCCAATTGCTCCACATCCTCATTTAATACTTACTGTTTTCTGTTCTTGTTGTTGTTTTATAATAGCCATCCTGTGGTGTGAAATGATATCTTACTGTAGTTTTGATTTGCATTTCGTTAAAGATTAGTGATGTTGAGCATCTTTTCACGTGCTTATCAGCCATTCATATATCTTTGGAGAAATGTCTATTTAAGTCCTTTGCCATTTTTTAATTAGGTTATTTGTCTTTTTGCTGTTGAATAGTAGGAGTTCTTTATGTATTCTGGATATTAAACTCTCTATTGTCTTTCTGTTTTCAATTTCATTGATTTCTGCTCTTATCTTTATGTATTACCTACATAAACAATATAATTTTCAAAGCTTGAGTCCTAAAGCCATTTTTATTAAGACGATGTTTAATTACTATCCTAAAGAGTCTAGTGTCAATTGACTAGTCGAGGTAGATGAAGTGACCTTTTCCCAATTGTCAACAGAAAACATACATTCTAAAAGATTAGCAAATAATTGGATGTTCATGAACAGAAAAGGTGGTGGAGATCTGATTATCCCATCCCCCTTCATCTTTAGTTGCCCAAGTTCAAAGGCTATTGATATTGTTCTCCGAACAGGCTTTTGTAGGAGCCAGAAACCTTTTTAAATAAATATTTACTGAGAACTAATACTGTACAATAGGACTAGAAATTAGAAATTATCTGTACCAATTACTGGTTATAATGACTAGCATTAATGAAATCCCTTCACACCAGGTACTATGCTGAGCGCCTTACGTCTACATTACCTTATTCAATCTTCGTAAGAACCTTGTGAAGTGGATGCTATTATCATGCCCATTTTACAGATGAGGAATCAAGGCCAGGAAAGTTACATAAGAAGCCCAAGATGACTCTGCTGGTAAAGGGTGAAGCCAGGATTCACACCCAGGAAGTTTAGCTCCAAAATTCTGCCTTTTGGTACAAGTTATATATTGCCCCCAATTAATTGAAAGATGGAAAATTATAATGTAGTAAAAAATATATTAAGAACAAAAAGCAGTTAGAAAAGAATAATAATTAGAAGTCTCTCTCCTTTTAAGTACTGTATAACTACGGGAGAGGGGTTTTTTCCTAGCTTTATTGAGGTATAATTGACAAACAATAGTGGGAGTTTTTTTTTAACTTAATTTACACTTGTAAAGACGCCCCCATCATTTAAAAAGTAACCGGCTGTCTGTTGTTAACCTGGCCTCATCCTCACCTCTTTCCGTTGTATTGCAGTGACCAGAGGCCCAAGGCTACGTGTGTCCCAATGCCCTGTCAGCAGGACTCCAGGTTAGAGTCTACCATCGAGAAAAACTTGCAAGAAAGAATTAGCAGCTATATGACTGCCCTTCCAGCAGCTGTGGGCAGATGCATGGGTTTGGCAGGCGTGAAATTTTGCAGCAGCCTCTGGAAGCTTCCCTGTGAGGCATCTGACTTAGGGCAGCAGGAGGACGGCCACCGTGGCAGGTCCCAGGGTTCCTGTGGCTCCTTGAGAGTCCTTCCAGCTCCTCCACTCCTTCATAAGCACATAATCACCTCTAGAAGGCCTGTTCTATTTGCAACCCATCATGAATATTATCCATGTTTTGACCAAATTATACTTTTGAAGCTCCATGTGGGAGTCAAGTTAACTATAGTCTGAGCCTGAATTTGACACTTGAACTTTGCACACACTTCTCCTGGATCCACCTTCTCTGAAGCCCCTATCTCGTTGTCCAGCCCTGAAGAGGCCCTCACCTGCCCAAGCTCTTCATTAAGATTCGATGTTCTGGCCATGGCGTAGACATTGTTTTCTTTATAATGCATATCGTCATCCTGCAAGAAACGAACAAAACAGCCAAGCCACAGAGTCAGGACTTGGTTCAAAATTTCTTTAGGAAGGCCATACTGCCACTGATCTTCTTCCAAGGTGGCTGACATTTAGAAAGAACTCACAATGGGGAGTCTTGACTAGTCGGATTTGGAATGCCAGATCCCAGTTTCTCACATACGTTGGCAGAGGCGATTCAGGAGAGGCCACGCCATGTAGGAACAAATGTCAATGTGCTGGTGACCTGGAACTGGAAGACTCGGCTTCCCAACCCTGGCTGTGCCTCAGACGTGCTCTGGACCTTGAGCGTGCCTCAACTATTACATCTAGAAGTCGGGAGCAATAACACGCACCTCACAGCACTACTGTGAAAACTAAATGAGAACACATTTGAAAGCACTTTGTCTCATTTTGTGGTTGTTAAAATAGCATTCCCCTTCAAATGATGGTAATTCATTGACATATTGAGAGGATCATTTAAATGTGACATCTAATGATTTTTATTTCAAATAAAAATATTTTAAGATATAACTAAAAATTGCAACCCCACATTCAAACTGGAAAATTCGTTTGGTCACAACTTACTAAGCAGTAACTTCACAATACGTGGTTGTCACCTGAGAATCGTTTTTTTTTTTAATTTGAAGTGATTCTAGAATGGCTTTATTTCTGTCATTCTTGCCAAGATCTGCAAATCTATTGTAAGTCTACTGGACTCTCTTTCTCTGTGACAATCTTAAGTTTTAATGGATTGACTATCTCTCTACGCTTGCTATGAAGCCACTGTCTCTTAAACCTTTCTTATTAACTAGAAAAAATATATATAAAAAAATGGTGTCCTCAAGAGTGACACACAGAGGCCTGGGGACTCTGAATCAGATCGACACCAATGGTTGGCTCTCCTGTCGAAAGCACAGCTGTCCCATTGGCAGCACCGGCCCCATGATAAGAACTCAGTTAGTTACATGGATTCTTAAAAAGAAAACAAAAGCCATAGCTCAAGAGAGAACTTTTAACTTTCTGATTTTAATACTCACCCAGTTTATAAACAGGGTCTGAACATATTTCACCATTTCCAGAGTGACCAGCATACTAATGGGGATGAGATTGTGGTACAAGGTAATGAACACCAATAAATCAAACCCAAAGTTGTGGGAATTGTAATCTGTGGAAGAAAATCAGAAGAACTGTGTCACAGCTTCAGGCGATATCTTTATTCATCTCTGTTTGCATTATTACATTATTAAATTGTGGAATTTTCTCCATGAAGATTACTATTAAAAGTATAATTATGCGCACACAGCTATAAAATGGTTTTAAAAATATTAGGTAAGCACCAACCACAGAATAAGGTGTACTGGAAGCATTGAGAGACAAGAGCTAATAAGAGACAGGCCCTGTCCTCAGGGAGCTCTGGATGCAGCTTGAGAAAGCAAGACGAGTCAGCAGTTACGGTGTGATGAATTCCACGATGGTGCTGTGCACAGTGTAGCAACACCACAAAGCAGAGGGCCCAGAAAGGGGTTGCAGAAAAGGGGGTGAGCAAAGCTTTGAAGAAGGGAGTTTGTTAAATCCAGGAGATGAGGGGAAGGAATGAGGAGGACATTTTAGCTGGCAGTAACAGTAGCTTTGAAGTCAAAGAGAGAATTATTATAACCACTTTTAAGACTCAGGGAAAGTAGGAAAGTAAAGCCCAAAAACCAAATATGATACTTGGTAAAACCTAGTGATGTACTCATTTTTAAACAGATAGGTGTGTTTGATAGGATAATTTTCCAATAAGAATTCAACCAAATTTCATAGAAATTTACTTAAAAATATCTAGAAGGTGTTCAGGGGATATACACACACTGCCTTATATACACCTTTCTGAAAACTTGCATCTCAATCTTACATGTTAAATTTATATGGTTGAGTTATGGGAGGAGGGGTCATAACTGAAAAGAACTAAACAGAAATTAATTTGTAAGGAACATTAATTTAATTAAACACAAAGCTGCATAAATACAGACAAAATTAAATAATAGTTTTAAGTCAAAATTTTATATTCATTTTTCGTAAAAGGGAGCATACTTGTAATTTAGAACAATAGTAGTTAAACGTAGATTTCTAAATTCCATCGACCTAAAAGTCAAGTTCAATTCACTGCCACATGTATTCAAACTGTTATCACCTTGAGTTTACTAACTTTCCCCTATTTGCCATGATTATACTTTTATACCTAGTGTATTACTTTATGGTTATAAATCATTCTTTTAAGAAAACTACAGGCAGATATTACTATGACCATTTTATGGACAGAGAAATGGAGACAAAATCTTTAGTGCTTGGTAAATTTCTAATCACTGAAAATGCAGTCATAACTTTAATTACCCGATGTCTTTTTCTTCTTTTGGACTGGAACATCCTGAGCGAAGGGGTGTAGTCCAGAGCCAATTGTAGGTTCTTACTGCAAATAAGCACTAACTTCCTCTGTGCTTTTTTGGTAAACACATGTAACCTGTTTCACTTTCATAAAACTAGGGGTTGGACTAGAAAACTATAGAATTCTGTTTCAACTCTGAAGTTATTTCTTTTAGCCAATCAATTAATTACTGAGTTCCTACTATGAAAAGGCACTGTTCCTGGAGTTAAAGATACAATGATTCCTGTCCTCAAAAATTCACAATCTAGTTGTAGGGAAGGGATGAACAATAATTATAAAACATGGAAATGGAATGATAGCTATTAAGGATATCATTATAGAAGCCAAAGAGGGCTCCTAACTAAAAAACAACAACAAAAAAAAAAAACAAAAAAAGAGGGAGGTAAGACATAGGAAACGCTTCTGGAGAAGGTAACGCTTCAACTTGGTCTGAAATGAAAAGAGGCAGGTACCAAGGCAAGAAGAGACGAGACACGCATTTGAGGCAGAAGGAGAACTGGACCAAAGGTCTGGAGACGATGAAGCAGCCAGTGGATGAAGGATCATGAAAAAGACCAAAAAGGAGTCCTCTATGAATAGACGCTAAATGCTAAGGAAGAAGGGGTGAGATGTCAAGTGATGGAGATAGGACCAGGTTATAGAAGTCCTGATGTACCAGGCTAAAGGAGATTTATCTTGACCCTGTAGGCCAGAGGTCAGAAAACATTTTCTCTAACAGCCAGAGGGAAAATGTCTCAGGCTTTGCAGGCCATACAGTCTCTGTTGCAACTACTCACCTCTGCTGTTGTAAGCATGAAAGTAGCCACAGATGACAGGTAACGAATAAGTGTGGCTGTGTTCCAATAAAACTTTATTTACAAAAACAAGCAATGGGCCATTGGTGGTAGTTTGCCAACCCAGTACAGGCAACAGGACACCACCGAAGCTACTTTACATATTCATAACTACTTTTCACATGCATCCTTCTGCAAACTGTGTAAAGAGTGAATTTTTGTGGAACTTGGCTGAGAACTGGGCAATCACTTAGGGAACTGTGGCAGACAGATGGAGAGGAGTGTGCCCACAGAGAAAATGTTGGAAAGGTAGAGTCAGCAAGACTTTGGCACTGATTGGATGATGAAGGCGATGGGTGCAGGAGTGGGGAAGAGAGCAGCAAGCTGAGAAAGAGAGGTAAGAATGACCTTTATGTTTCCAGCTTGGATGGTTGGATGGTGGTACTTACAATTTACATGGAGAGTATTGAAAAAAGACACTGATTTGGGGGGGGGAAAGATGAATTTAGTTTTGTGCATGCTGAGGTAAGAGGCCTACAGGACATCTAGAAAGCCACGTGTAGGCAATAATGAGTTAATAATTCATAGAGAGAGCTAGCCTGGAGGCAACCAGGTAGAAGACATCAAGTGATGGTTAACAGTTGAAATTATTAGTGGGTGAGCTCTCTTAGAAAGATTATCTTGCATGAGACAATTAACCCTTAAGAAGTTGATGAAGTCTCTCCTGAAGAAAAAAATAACACACGTACATATGTGAAGAAAACTTTTCCCAAAATTTTGAGGATTTATGGACCAAATTTGAGGAATTCTTGGTGAGCAGGATCCTGAAAAACACCAGCATTTCAAAGGTGGATCAATGAGTCAAATAGGGAAGAGTTTTTTTAACAAAGATCAGAAGAGGGGGCAGAAGTCCAATTGGATAGAGACTTAAAAATGAGCCCCCGCCTTGGCAATTAGGAATTTATTCCTAACCTTGAGCAACAATTTCAGTAGACTGGTTGAAGTAGACAGCACACTGAAATGGGCCCAAGAATGACCAGGCGGTAAGGAAACGGAGACAGTGTGGGTTGTCTCTTCTTTCAAGAGGTCTGATCAAGAAGTGAAGAAGAGAGCAATTGTACAGTATATGCAGAACTTGACACTTTTTACAGACATCAAAATATCAATGACTTCTGTAAGCTTTTATGTCTGTTTCAAAAATGAGATAATATTCACACTCTTGGGCTAGAGAAAATTAAACAAGCAAATTTAAATCAAGATTACTTTTTTCAAATCATCTAAAATCTGTAAGCTTGAAATAAAAACTCAACAGGTAACATCTAGAAACCCAGATCGCATAAGAATGAATCCTTGATTTTTTTTATCAAACTACAGAGTCTGTATCTTAGTTTCTTTATTCCTAAAATGCTCCCAAACAGATCCTCTCAAGGGAAGTTAGAATAATTTAAAATCCTCAGGAGATAGATTAGAAAAGGCAGAAAGATGTATAATGGTGTACTCTGAAAACACGGAAAGACATAAAAAAAAAAATGCTGAACTTTTCATGCCAAATACCAGTTTACCTTTAAATCAGTCAACTGAACCACTGAATCTCCCTCAGTGCCCTTGTCCTCATTTCCTGGGCACCATTCATTGTCCTGGAAGTACTGTACTAACCCAATGAGGTAGGTACTGTCCCCATCTTCAAAGGAGGGAAGTAATGCTCAAAGAAGTAAAAACCTTGTCCGAATTCTCCTCGTGACTAAGCGGTACAACCAGAGGCATGGCCTTGTGTATCTGACTCACAGTCTCATGCCTCCACCCTGACTCCTCTCACTCCTTTATTCTGGAATGCCAGGATTATGTGGAATTGACAGAACAAGCTTTAAAAAAAAATATCTGAAAACAGTCTGTTTCTAACGCTCATTAATCCTCAGTTTTTCAAAAAAAAAAAATAATAATAATATACCAGTTAGAATAGAACAAGTGCCTTCCCTTTTAAATAAAAACATGGAAGCAAGTGTTTAAAGTCACTTTTTAAAGCATTTAAACTTCCATAAATGGCAGCTTATTGCCACCCTCTGACACTCACCCTTCTTCCTGATGTACCAAATGTCTGCTCCATACCTTCGATTCCAGAGAAAGGCTCCCACACAGCTCACCAAGGACATCGCCAAGAGCAGCACGAACAGCGCCAGGATCTGCACGTTGGCCAGTTTCTCCACCTTTGACCTCTTGAGAGGCGATTTGACTGAATTCTGCACAATAGTCCCCATACACCAAAAAGAACAACAACAACCAACCAGAACAAAACAAACAGAGGAATTACAGCGCACAAACATTTTGATGATGACAGGAAGTCACAACTTCCAACAGGTAAAAAGTAGAATACATTTTTTTACAGATAACTAACAGATTAAAAGGGTGCCACATTGTTGAATGAGCATGGCTTTTCCACTTCAGTCCTTCGAGCATCTTTTACTAGTTCGTAGAAAACACTCACACAGCAGATCTACCACTTCAACGTTCTAGAGTTCTTAAAAATCAGATGTGGCAAATCTGACAGCCTGGGTGATGTTCTGAATAGGCAAAACAAACAAACAAAAACCTCACTAATTTATTGGCCTTACTGCTTCTAGTTATTGGATTATTTCCAGTTTAAAAACCGTGGTAAGACAGTCTTCACTTGAGTCTGTTGAGAAAATATTCAAGATTTTATCAGTATGATAATTGCTCTAGGGGCCAGCCCAGTGGTGTAGTGGTTAAGTCCACAGGCTCTGCTTTGGCAGCCTGGGGTTCACCGGTTCAGATCCCCGGCACAGACCTACGCATCGCTTATCAAGCCATGCTGTGGCAGGCATCTCACATATAAAGTAGAGGAAGATGGGCACAGATGTTAGCTCAGGGCCAGTCTTCCTCAGCAAAAAGAAAAGGATTGGTGGCAGATGTTAGTTCAGGGCTAATCTTCCTCAAAAAAAAAAAATTGCTCTAACATACATATTTTAGGGAAACCAAAGCTCTGGGTTAGGGATACGGTGAGAGCTTTAAACGATAACTTTCTGTTAACATTTCAGATTTGTCCATAAATTTCTGTCTAATCATCTGCAGAGGTTTACTGGGACATTGGAGAATATATACCCTTATATTTTTAACTTATATTTAAATTTTCAATCACATTTTACCAGATTAAATTTACCATTTCTACATTTTCATTAAAATGTAGAAGCATAAATGCTCCAAGTTTACAAATTATGAAAATATAAGTTAGTGATCCAAAGTACTCAACTTTCTTAACATAGCGCAGAAATAGATAAGGTCAAAAAACTCCTCAGTTTAACTGCATTAAGCATATTGCAAGAGAACATCCTTGTACGTGTATGTGTATGTATATGCGTACGTGTGCACGTATATACACATACATACATACATACATACACATTTCCCCTCTTTGGTTGACTTGTTTGAATAATGACTTCAGATGCTATATAATATAGAATAGTTTTCAGCTAAGTGTGCTGGCTTTAAAATCTTTTGGTAAGGAAATATTTACATTTACCAGTTCTTTCTTTCCTAGAGTCATGAAAAGCCCCTCTCTGAGGTTTTTGTTATTCTGAAAGGACACAATCAAATGTATAATAAGCCCTGCAGAGATTTAGATCCACAAAATGACGTGACAGAGCAGGATGCACTTTATCATGAGCTGCAGCTCAGACCAATCATGCTGGGAGAACGATGGAATGGTTTTTTCAAGTTACAATAGGCATTTAAATCTCAGATGAAATATTGTGCTACCATGTATATAATTAAGTAAGATATGTTATCATTTGAACACAACTGAAGACAAAAACACGTCGTGTTAGAGAATTGTGCATTTTACAATTGAATCACAGGTCACAATTATGTGGGTTCTATGTTGACTTTGGCTCCCTGCCCAGATCTGAACTTCCATCTGTGGATAAACTTGTGCTTATATCACTGTCTTAGCCTGGGTTCCTTAGGAAACAGAGTCTGAGGAAAACTCACACATTAATGCATTATTGCAGGGTGCAATCTCAGGGCAGGAAGAGTGAGAGGAAAAAGGACAGTGAGACAGAGAACGGGGAAGCAAATACAAAGTAGTATGTCACTGAGCTAGTCAAAGCTTTGCAGGAAAACACACGCAGTTCCTCTGTCATGCAGGCCCCAACTTTCCTCTGACTGGTCTCTCACCACTCCGTGCTTCATCCTCTGCCATCTACACTCCAGGCACACTGAGCTGCACTCACCAACTGGCCTTTGGACACATGCCGTATTCTTGGCCTAGAGCTCTCTTAGCTGCCTCCCCTTCTCTAGGACCAATCCCCGTGCCCTTTACATTTCCATCTGTTCTATCAGCTTCAGGCCTTAGTTTCCATCTTCCTTCCTCACAACAGCCTCAAGGTCATTTTGGACAGGGCCCCTACATACACACACAGCATCCACCCCTCCTCACTTCCCACTAGTGTTATATTACCTTGAGTGTCTTCCTTTACAGACTACAAGTAACTTGAGGGCAGGAAACAGGCCTTGTTCCCTACTGTACCCCAGGGGCTTAGCACGGTGTCTGGCATAGCGGCTAGAGATATTTGTGGAAGGAACAGTCAAAGCCAAATGTTGTGTTTTAGCAAATGGAAAAATGCATAGACTTATTGTCGAGTTACTTCTCATTAATAAGAGAATTTCTCATTCAAGAAATTCCTGCTCCAAGACAAAATGTCCTGAGTGGTTCTCAAAAGATAACAACTGAGAGGAATGGTACACAAGAGAAATAACTTACATAGAACCTTTAATGTCATTTTGGCAAAAATAAATATCATAAATAGGAGCCATATATAGACTAAAATAAACATGGACTTCCCTTCAAATTTCAGGTTAATAAACAGAAATAAGCTCCCTAAGTTCAACAGATATATATTCAACATCCTCACTTCATAAAAGCAGAAGGAAAAATCCAGAAGCAACACTATTTGTCGTCGCAGATTATTTTACCTGCATGAATTTCGTTTCAAATCCAGTGTAAACAACTATGCCAAGGATCCACCAAGTATTTTTAAGCTGTGTACCTCTTAGCACGACCTGGTCAGGCCCAAGTGGAAGGGGGCTAAAAATTAAAAAGAGCATTTATTAACTACCAAAAAAGCTTTTTTTCTTTTCGCAATGTAAAACAAGCCTGGGCTTTCACCTTAAAGATATTTCCTTTTGTTAAGTTCAACTATATGGACAAACAGCAATAAAAACAAATGTGTCTTCGTAGAAAGTACCTATTCCTAAAAGAGCATGGAAAAAAATCTGCTTTGTCCTCCATTTCGCACCATTCCAAAGGTACATTGATCACAAATTTTACAGAGAAAAACATCTCTTATACTTAAGGTGACTATATAATTTATTGTCAGGGAAGATGACGTGAACAAATAAATCCCCGTATGCTAATTTGGCAATCTGTGGAAGGGATTACGTGTGGTCATTCAGAGCACAGAAAGCAAGCTCAGTCGGCCATATTGACCTGGCCTCCTCCCCTCCCCACTGAGCTGACTCACTATATAAAAGACATTCCCATGAAAGTCTTAAGTGGAAATCAAGTGGCAGTGGAACAGAAGTTGGGAAAACTCGTCCATCATTATCAAACCACAATCCTAGTGGCTTCTCCTCTTTGATGACTTTCAAGATCCTGTTCTTCCCGCTAATTCATCCCAACGAATATGCTAAATACTTCTACTCAAAGGAAACTTGGACCTGACTTCTCTAGTGCTACCATCGGCAGGCATACTGATTCAGAAAATGCCATAAGCTTTCCACTTATCTTTAAGAATTCTTTTTTAACAATTACCTTGATAGCTCAGGTTATTTCAAAGTCAAGTAAAATATGAAAATAATATAATATAATGTTTTAAGATGTTATTTACTGAGAGAACAAAAACTGCCACATTCTATGTTTCATAAAAGAAAGGAAACGTTTGAGAAGAGAAAGATGATACCTTTTACCACTTAGGCACAAGGTTCCCACAAAGCTATTGAAATGACAATGAGGTCCTGCACATTCTATTTTTCCAGATAGGTTTGACAACTGCTTTTCTGTTTGCATTTCAGCTGTTTCTGACAAAGCCTACAAAGCAAAATCAAATGAAAAAAATGAAAATAAAATTTTAATGGCAAAGTTCAATGTCTCTGATAGTTAATAAAAGAAGATTATGGAAGTCAGTGTCTAAAAAGGGATTGCTCTTAGCAGATAGTAAATAATATACATCAAACTTTAACATAAACTGTGTTAGAAGACTTTGCCATACCAGCATTTTGCAAATGATTTTAATAAGGTTGAAAGAGGTAGGAAAGTTAAGTTTTCATCACCTGTCTATGAAAATACTATTTTTGAAAGTGTAATCACCATAACCAAACACTAAGTAATGTTTGACACGTTTATGTCTGTAGCTGATGATGCTGACCTCCGGACCACACTTTAACTAACAAGGATTTAGAACAATGGTTCCAAACTCTTGAGTGCATCAGGTTCACCTGGAGGTTTTGTTAAAATACAGATTGCTGGGATGCACCCCCAGGGTTTTTTATTCAGTAGGTCTGGTGCGGGGTACCAGAATTTGCATTGCTAACAGCTCCAAGAGGATAGTGATGCTGCTGGTCCAGGGATCACACTTTGAGAACCACTGATTTAGAAAATGTCTCATTCCAATAAGATGATCTCAACCGTCCAGAGAGAAAAGGCAGATCATCTTCAAGAGAATAAGAATCAAACTGTCATAAGTCTTTTAAAGAGCAGTACAAGATACAGGAAGACAGAGAATTTTTATTTTCAAGTATTTAAATAAAAGACCTTTAAATCTAGAATGTTGTATCTTTCCAAATATCCAACATATGTGAAGGTTTAAGACAAATATTCTCAGGCATGCATGCAAAGTCTTAGAAGTTTTGACAGTCAGAAACCTACACTTGAAACAGTTCAGGATGAACTTCTATTCATCAAAAGACACCTTAAAGAAAGTATTAGAGCAAGTTACCAACTGGAAGGAGACAGGTGTAATTATATATGACTGACAAAGGATTAGTATGAAAAATACATAAAGAAATCCTATAAATCAATAAGAAAATACAAATATCTCAATAGAAAAATGAACAAATATTTCCCAGAAGAGAAAAATATGCATTACCAGCAAACTCAGAAACAGATGCTCGAGTGATATGTTAACGAACTAAAGAAGAAAAATCATTACTATATCAATTGATGCTGAAAAAACTAGTAAAAGATTTAACATGCATTCTAGGGGAAAAAATTCCTAGTAAGCTTCACTTATAAGGAAACTTCTCAAATTTGGTAAAAAGATATCCGTGCAAATCAAAAGCAACTATCATACTTAACTATGAAATAGTTAGAAGCAATAAGTTAGAAGCATTGCTGTGTTAGTCAGGAACAAGAAGAGACCAGGTGCTATCACCTAACTTATTTTTCAACTGCTCTGGAGTTTCTAGCATTGCCATAAGATGGGGGGGGAAAAATAAATTAGGTATTATTATTACAGGGAAGGAAAGATCAAAAGTGATCCAACTTTTACAGAAGGGATTTACTACCCGAAAAATCCTACACAACTTGACTTAAAAATCATAAAAATGTATTAGAGTTTAGTAAGGTGGCTGGATACAAGATCAATAAACAAAAATATGTATTGATGTACCACAGTTTAAACATTCACCCAGTAGAGGACATCTGGCTATTGCTAATGAAACTGCTATAAACATTTGCATAAAGGTTTTTGTGTGAACACGAGTTTTCACTTCTCTGGGATAAATGACCAGGAGTGCAATAGCTGGGTCATATGATTGTTGCATGTTTAATTTCACACAAAACTGCCAAAACGCTTTCCAGAGTGGTTGTACCATTTCATATTCACACTTGCAATGTGTGAGTGATCCAGTCTCTGCACACCCTCACCAGCATCTGGTGGTGTAAGTACTTTTAATTCTAGCTATTCTGATAGCCATGTAGCGATAGCTCACTGTGATTTTAATTTGCGTTTCCCTAATGGCTAATGATGTAGAAAATGTTTTCATGTGCTTATTTGCCATTTTTATATGCTGTTCTGTGAAATGTCTCTTTTGCCCATTTTCCAATTGGATTGTTTGGTTGATTTTTTTTTCTGTTGAGTTTTGAGAGTTCTTTATATATTCCAGATACCAGTCCTTTGTCAGATACGTGGTTTGTAAATATTTTCTCCCACTTTGTAGCTTGTCTTTTCATCCTCTTCAAAACCAAAGTTTTTCATTTTGATGAGGTCTAATTTACAAATTTTTCCTTTTGTGGATCACGCTTTTAGTATCAAGTCTGAGAAATCTTGGCCTAGCCCTAGGTCCTGAGGGTTTTCTCCAGTGTTTTTTCCTACAAGTTTTACAGTTTTATATTTTACATTTAAGTCTTACTAAACTTTGAGTTAACTTTTGCATAAAGTATAAGACTTTGGTCAAGGGGTTTTTGTTTGTTTGTTGCCTATGAAATTACAATTGCTGTAGCACCATTTGTTGGAAAGATTATCTTTTCTCAAATGAATTGTTTTTGCACATTTGACAAAATCATTTGGCCATATTTGTGTAGATCTATCTCTGGGTTTTCTATGTGATTTCATTGAGCGATGTGTCTATTCCTTCACCACACTGAAACCAGGGATCAACTTGCTTTTTTCGTAGTTAGTTATCTGCTTGCAAAAGTAGTTAGATAACGCGTTACTAAAACCCACCCCATAGATAACATCTCAGACACTTGGGTCACCCTGGGAATGGGTGCTTGAGTTTTTCAGGAACTGAGGTCAACTCCTTGTCCAGTTCAGGCTGGTTAAGACCACCAACTCATCAACTGGGCCTGTGCAGATGACTGATACACTTTTTTTTAGACTTTATTTTAGATCCTTGGGATTTTCTATGTAGACCACTATGTTAAAAGCAGATGGAGACAGTTTCGTTACTTCCTTTCCAATCTGTGTCCCTTGTTTTCTTTTCTTACTGCTCTTTCTATGTCTTCTAGTACTATGTTGAATAAGAGTAGAAAGAGCAGATATCCTTGCCTTGTTCCCAGTCTTAGGAATACATTAGGAGACCCCCTAGTCTTAGGGGTAATGCATTTAGCCTTTCACTGCTAAATACAATGCTAGCTATAAAGTTTTTTTGTAGACTCTCTTTACCAAGTTAAGAAAGTTTCCTTCTATTTCTATACATTTTTTGAGTTTCTATCATGAATCGACATTGAATTTTGTCAAATGCTTTCTCTGCATTGATTGATATGATCACACGATTTTTCCTCCTTAGCCTGTTAAGATGGTAAATTACATGGATTGATTTTCAATTATTAACCCAGACTTACAACCCTGGAATAAACCTTTACAATTCTTTGTATACATTATTGAGTTCTATTTACTAATACTTTTAAAGAATTTTTGTGCCTATACTCATGAGGGCTATTGGTCTGTAGGTTTCTTTTTTTGCACTGTATTTGTCTGGTTTGGGTATCAGGGTAATCATACCCTCATAAAATAAATTAGGAAGTGTTCCCTCCTCTTCTATTTCCTGGAGGAGATTGTGTGTAAGCGATGCCAATTTTTCTTTACATGTTTGGTAGAATTCTCCAGTGAAACCACCTGGGCCTGGAGATTTCCTTCTTGGGAGCTTTTAAACTATTAATTCAATTTTCTCATTAGTTATAGGAGTATTCAATTTATCTATTTCCAGTCTTTGGAGGTTTTCCTGTTATCTTTGTCATTGCTTTCTAGTTTTATTCCATTGTGGTTAGAGAGCAAATTATCTATGATTTAAAATCTTTTAATTTTATGAGACTTGTTTTACGACATGGGTATTGTCTAGCTTGGTGTATATTCCTTGAGCACTAAAAATAACGTGTCCTTCTGTTGGGTATTATTCTATAACATTCCATTGTTAAATGTTCTACAAATATCAAATGGATCCTTTTGGTTGATGGCGTTGAGTTCTTATATATCTTTGAGAATTTTCTGTCTGGTTGTTCTGTCAGTTGATGAGAGGGAGTTGTTGAAGTCTCCAACTATAATTGTGGATTTATATATTTATCCCTTTAGTTCTATCAGTTTTAGCTTCATAAATACTGTAGCTCTGTTTTTGAAGCATACACGTTAGCATTGCTATGTCTTCTAATGGATTGACTCTTTCATCATTATATAATAATTTAAAAATGTTCCTTTCTGTCTCTGGTAATTTTATTTGGTCTGATGTTTACTTTATCTGATATTAATAAAGCCACTCCTGATTTCTTTTGATTAATCTTTGCATGATACATCTTTCACCATCCTTTTACTTTTAACTTATGAGTGAGATCATATGGTATTTGAATTTCTCCCTCTGACTTATTTCTCTTAGCATAATACCCTAAAGGTCCATCCATTTTGTCACAAATGGTTGGATTTCATTGTTTCTTATGGCTGAGTAGTATTTCATAGCATATATATACCACATCTTCTTTATCCATTCGTCCTTTGATGAGTATCTAGGTTGCTTCCACTTGGCTATTGTGAATAAGGCTGTGATGAACATACGGGTGCCTCTATCTTAATGCATTTGTGTTTTCCAGTTCTTTGGGTAAACACTCAGCAGTGGAATAGCTGGATGATACAGTAGTTCTAGTCTTAATTTTTTGAGGAATCTCTGTACTGTTTTCCATAGTGGCTGCACCAGTTTACACTCCCACCAGCAGTATATGAGAGTTCCCTTCTCTCCACATCCTCTCCAACACTGATTCTTTCCTATCTTGTTAATTATAGCCATTCTGACGGGAGTGAGGTGATATCTCATTGTAGTTTTGATTTGCATTTCCCTGATTGTTAATGATGTTGAACATCTTTCCGTGTGCCTGTTGGCCATCTGTATACCTTCTTTGGAGAAATGACTGTTAAGATCTTTTGCCCATTTTTTAATTGGGTTGTTAGGTTTTTTGCTGTTGAGATGTATGAGTTCTTTGTATGCTTTGGATATTAACCTCTTATCAGATATATGGTTTGCAAATACTTTCTCCCAATTGTTAGGTTGTCTTTTCATTTTGTTGATGGTTTCCTTTGCTGTGCAGAAGATTTTTAGTTTGAT